GCCTTACTCTTTTGATTATATTGCAATTATAACATCTTGGTTATACAGGATCCCTTTCAACTCAAACGATTCTGTGATTCTATGATAACCAGCATGTGTGTGAGGGACAGTTTCCATTAGTTTCCAAGGAGGAATGCCTTCAAGGTGAGCTGATGATATTCCCTGGAGGGGCAGCTATTAGACACAGCAAAGCTCATGCTGCTTTGCCAGGTATTCAGGCAGCAATGACCTCCCTGCCTGCTCTACCACAGCTCTGTAGTGTTCCACTAAGCTGCTCTGTAGGAGCTGGATGGTGCCCAAATGCCAGCTCTTGCTGCACCAGTGGCACCTTCAGTACCTTTGCTCAATGCTGCTGACAGGGCAAATATGTGGGCTATGGGGTGGATCACAGTTTCTCACGGTGATCACATCAGCAATAGATGAGCCCTTGCACAATTAAACCCTATCCTGCAAAAGCAGCCTGTAAGCCCTGCACAGAGCTGTCATTGCAATCTGTTCTCCTGAAGGCAGAGCTCCTGACAGAGCTTTACCAGGTGTTCGTGAGGGAATTTTGACACTTCTGCACCTGTTGCAGCCTGATGGGGATGTGAAGGGCTCATTGGAGCCAGCTGCAGCTCAATGGGCTTTCAATGGGCTTAACTTGCAGCTGGATAAGCCAGTACATGCTAGATATTTCTACTAGACAGAAGGGAACCAGTTGCTCATCTCTCTCTGACCTTCTCTGGGGCTCAGATTCAGTCCCCTTAGAATATTTCAAGGATCCAGAAAAAGAAACTGACTTTTATGGGCATAGCACAAACATGAAACTACTTTGAATAGCTAACTCTCCACATGGAACTGCTCGTGTGCAATAAAGATGGCAGGGCTTCCCAGTATAAATAATCATTCACTTTTTGAAATCATAAATCATTCACTTCTTGAATTATTTGGGTGTCAGGGGACAAACTGTTAAATCTATATTTAGCATCTAGCTTCAAGTTCTGCCTGATTTTCAGAAGTGCTGCACTTTTCAGCTAGGAAACCTCATACATCAGATCCCTCCAATAAAGTGCTTCATCTTGGATTTATGTGCTTACACTCAAAAAACTCTACCAGCACTTAAGGGTTATCTGCAAAGGAAGACAAAAATTAGTTACAAACTGCACTGAGAGTTTTAAGTATATATATGCATACGGTGGAAGGTATGACATTTGGAAATGTATTTTTTGCTAATTTTTCAAAAAGGCACTTGTAAAATTCTGCCTGGTTTACGGCAGCTGAGCTGGAAGGCAGCAGCTCTGTGTCCAGCACATGGGGCCACAGGTGAACATAGAATTTGCCAAAAAAGCACCAGTCCAGCTAGCTGGGAAGCATCAATGGGATCTTATACGAAGGAAAAGATTTGAAAAAATATAGTATTTAGATTAACATTCATTTTATCTTGTAACTTACTTGGATTGATCCTATCTGAGAGCTCACACATCCGAGGAAAGAAATGTTAATGCTAAAGATGCAGACCTGTGACATGGTGCGACAGATAACTTCTGCTCCTTCACCAAAATAATGCAGCAGCTGCTTGCAAAAAGGACCCACATACTGAATCTGTAAATATGCTCTACCTCTTTTTATGCTGCTGCTGTAATTAATCTAAGAACCTTTAAAATTCCTATCTGATAGTTAGACTTGTTATAGCAACGTATTTAATTCCAGAGCTACATCTTTCAGCAGATACTTTTACTTCATTCAAATTACTAATCGTTTAGATTCTCTCTGAAAGTCTTTCCTCCCTTGCTCCCCATGCATGCTTAACCTAATTAACTATAAATGAGAAAAAATGCTATTCACATAAAAAGAAAATGTTAACCTATAAATTATCCAGTGCTCCCTCCCGAGGCTGGCAACGCCTCTTGTAGAAAAGCTCAGATGTTGGTGCAGTATTCTTGGCTTGTTCTCCAGTTTCTGCCACCCAAAATCATTTTATGCAACACATTACTTTGCCATTTTGTACATCTGGCAACATTTGCTGATACTAAGTCCTCTCCGGTGTTTTCAAGATTACACGAAGGAGGATTTCCAGGATGATTAATTGGAGAGATAAAATCATTCCTTTACATTTCAAGGAACATTTGCAGAAGACTAATGGTCATTTATGGAAATATGGCCTCTTTATACCCATTAATGTCTTCCAGTGCTCCCTGTAGGTCACACAATTAACCACTCATTTATGTTTCCTTGCTGCTGTCATTCCAAGTCCTCTCGGTCGTCATCAGCACTGAAAAACCTTCTGTTCCTCCCTAGCCAGATCAGAGCCCATTCAGGCCTGTAGGACTGAGCCACCTACACGTCAGATTCCTCGCTCTATAGATTTCTCCTCAAAGTCCACTTTTTTTTTTACATAGGTTTTCAAATGCACTCAGCCAAATTTCACCTTGAAAACCTCTTCCAATCCTTTATTTTTAATTCTTTTGTGATTTTATTCATCTTACTTTGTACACATACCTACCAGCCATCTTGGGGTGGGGATTCTGCACACAACAGCGTTGTACTGGGTTGGAAAAACTGACCATACAAAACAGCAGCAACAAATATTAATTGCTTTGTTCCCCACCTTAAACGGAGTGAGGAATTCAGAACAAGGTCTTAAAGGAAGTCCAAATCTCTTCCATGCTTATGCATTCCATTCTACTACCTCTGTTCTTCTGGGCACAACTTGGTCTCCTTCTTGCATCTGTGAAACAAAGCCAAATCCAATTTAGGACGTACATATGTGGTGGACAAAAACGATGCTGCACTTTACAGATCATCTCAGAGAAATGCAAAATGTTTGTGGTTCATCAGTGAGGCGCTCACAGAGATTCTGATCCACAGCTTGATCCACCTAGCTCAAATGTCAAAATGTTATTATTATTATTTGCTGTTTTTCAGGGGTAAAGACATCCAGAATAGATACATCCCAGAATATTAAGAAATGAAAAGAAATGTAGAAATGAAAAGAAATGTAGAAATGAGGGCAACACAGATAAAAACAAGGAGTAAATCCTATATCAAACACAGCAAATTAAAGAAGAGACAAGCTGCTTATCTGCCCCTTCTGAATTCCCTGAAATTTTCCTCATTTTGATGCTGCTTGGTCACGAGCTGAGAGGAGCTGGGCCTCCAACAGTGAGCAGGCAGCCTCAGACTGCAGTAGGAAATAGAAGCATAATTTACTTGCCATACTTGAGCACAGTAAAAAGAAATGGAGAGAGAAAAACTCAGGAAAAAAAAACTATTGGCATTCAGCTTTGGCTTTCTAGATAACGAAATCATTGAGACATGGATTTAGTGAATGTGTGTGTTTTATATGGTTCAGGAAACACTGCTGTTACACAAGTTAGTTGAATTAATTATGAGTCTACAAGTCTTCTAGAATGTCCTTCTTAAAGGTGTACATAAAGTTGATGAGGACATACTGTTATCCAATCTTATTTCAGCATTGCCTAAGGATGATTTACAGCACTTCAGCAGAAAATGCAAAAGCCATCCTATGTACTTTCATTCTGACTTACATTAATTGCTCTCGTGGACACTGGCTTCATCGGTGGTTTTGCAGGAATACAGCCACTAAGAATTTTAGTTAACTGGGGCTAATTATTGTTAACAGTCATTAGAGTCACATTCACAAGGGGTGGCAGGAATGAGGGAGAGGAAATATAACTCAGCCCACTCATACCTCTGTACGCACACCTAAGTGAGCAGGGTTAATGAGAGTACCAGCGAGATGCCCAAGCACACAAGAGTAGATTAGTTACGTAAATAGAAGCCATTTTTCATGTTTCACTCTGTAGAGTAGTTTTACCCTGGCCCATTTTAGAAGTGAAATGAATGTGTCACAGAAAAAGCCAGGAGCTTGACCAGGGCTCTGCAGCAATACTGTGCCAACACAGAGCTCAGGAGCAACGCCTTTCCAATCCACATCGAACTTTATCAGAATAAAATCCTGCATGATTGTTTATTGTTATCATTATTGCTGCATAATAGCTACCATCATCTCCGGCACCAGAAATTTTAGACTGAACTGTGTCACAGCTGCACAATTTAATTTGAATTAATCAACCCCTAACCCCTGATTAGCAGAACACGGCAAGAAGGAAATAGCTGAAAATAAGCAAACCTCTGTCAGAAACAAGAATATTACTTACAAGGCTAACATCTTGCCTGAATTGACAGCAAACAAGCTTCAGTAAGCAGCAGTGGAAAATAGGAGAAAGTCTATTAGCAGACACCTAGGTGAACACTGTTTTTCAACCCTTGAAACCCAAGCTCTTGTTTAAGACTATAGCTATTTTTTTTTGCACCAGAACAACAAAAACAACAAAAAAAATAAAATTGAAAGGCAGGACTATTAAGCAATGATAAAGGTTGAGTCATAAGCTAAAGTCATGTTATAGATTTACCTACCAACAAGAAGCCAGCAGGGTTCGGGTTGGAGGTTAATGAAAGACATCCAAAGGTCATCCAGTGATTATGTGCGAGCATGAGTTTAATAGGGCACGGGGACGACAGACACTGACAGAAGATTTATACCAGAGGTGATGACACTGCTAGGAATACTGCTGATAAAAAGAGCCCCAATATCGGACGGAGCAGGATGATGAATGGCACACATGTCTACTCACACTTCTCATTATAAGCTCCTTCACTCATGGTGGCACTTAGCAGCATTTATTTACTGTGCTTTGAAGGTACTGAGCAGAAGCACAGTATATCTAATACTTTAAATGTAGGCTTGCCATATAAAAATGAAACAAGAGATAAGATTAGACCACTGAATAATTGCCCAGCTTTCCTGCAGAGATTATATTCACTAGTGCTAACATTATTTTTTCCCTAATGTTCTAGCGTACGAACAGCTCAAGTGAATTAATTTTCTGAGGCAGAAGGTCAAAGGAAAATAACTGATAAGCGTTGTGCCTGCTATAGAATATCACTTTACAATATTCTTTCTTCCTCATTTGTCAGATAGAGAGTAAGAGATAATATAATAAAGGTATATAAACATATTTTTTGTCACGCCATATTTAGTTTTAGTAGTCCCAAGTGCTATTTTTCCTTGTAGATTCTGGTAGGAAGAGGATCAGAGAAGTCAGACAAAAATGTCAAATAAAAAAAAAAAAAATAAAGGAATAAACCTTAGAACCCAAACCGAGGAAAACTAAGACCTGATGAATAACATGCACTGCACCAAGAAACTCCTTTTCAGACTGTTATATATTTATCAAACCACTGGAGTGTGAATTCTATGAATAAGTCTTATCATCTTTCAAGCAGCAGGCACAATAAAAATTAGAACTACAGAAAATTGTGGGTATTACAAAAGGTTATTTCTATCAATTCACACCTATCTGTAGATGGGAATGTCACAAAAGAAAGTTCTGCATGTCTTGCCACTTGTAACTTCGAGCAGAGATGGAGCAATACGCCATGACGTCATATTTAACATTTATCTGGACATGCAGCAACATAAATAAATCCCCACTCGACCAAGAGGCGTTGTAAATAGTCTGTAATTTTAGGAGGAGAGATGTAACATTCTGAGCACACGCTACCATCATTCCTCAGGATAGTTCACTTACAGCTACCTTGCGTGTGCTGCTGTTACGACCACTTCCAAGCACAATACATCTGTATTATGTCCTTTATCCATCCTGAGATACTTGAATGTCTCTCATGGAATAGGAAAGGGAGGCAGCCAAGAAAACGCATTGTCTTTATTTGTTGTTATTGTTTATAGTTTGTATTGCAAACAGAGGTCATTTGGATAAGCAATGGCTTATTACCACTGCTAAGAGATACACAGCTTGATCCTAGACATGTAGTCCTATCTTTTAGATGTCGTGTTGATGCTTGCACATAGAGAAAAGATGCTGTCTCTCTCTGAGAGCTGCCTCACAGATATGATCTGCTCAAGGTAGAGGCTGATTACAAGGCAGACATCAAGAGTATGAGGGATGTGTTGGCTGGAGCACTGTGTATTTCTACAACAATGTTAAGTCTTCTGCTGTAAAAAACATGAAAACCTTAGCAAACTGCTTGTGGCCAACTCTTCATGGACCAATTTCTGTAATGAATGCCACTGTATCCAACCCAAAGCTTCTCATCACTTTCTGACTCTCTAATTAAGGAATAAAATGTAGGTACTCAGAAAGGGAGGGAGTGCTTTAATTACACTTGAAATTGACTCCTTCTCCATAGAGCATGCATACATAGAGCATCCATCTCACTAATTTATACCATAACCTGAGCCACAAACTGGCCATTTTTAGCCTCAGCACTGATTCTCAGTCACCTCTTCCCTCTATGCTCAGTGCAGCAATATATTTTTTCTTAAGGACTCACCCAGTTTTCCAATACTTTTGAAGTGCAGTAAAATGATTGGGCCCACGACGGGGCCCTGGTCAGCCTGGTCTAGCATTAAATGGGGAGGTTGGTGGCCCTGCACGTGGCAGGGGGGTTGGAGATTCATGATCCTTGAGGTCCTTTCCAACCCAGGCCGTTCTGTGATTCTGCGATTCATCAAAAACACATTTCATCAACATTTTCTAGCAGCTGGGTTCTAATCTTTGAGATCCTGGTACCCACATTCCCCTTTGGAAAGATTATATAATCAGTGTTATCTGATAGGGCTTTTCACTGGGCTGATCACTGAAAAGTAATAGGAATACATCAAAAGAGCCATGCCTCCATTAAAATACATAGGGATACGGTACACTGGGATATAGGAAAACCCATGAAGAGGCAAGAGGCAGAATGGCTTCTTTCTCTAAAGCTCTGTAGCCATCAGTGTCACCCTGTCATTCAGCATGTTTTACTGTCCACTTGAGCCAAATGAATACAATGATCTAATGGAAGCCACAGAGTTTCCCAATAGACAGCACATTTGTTAGTGAGGCAGATGATAAAATGTTCGTAAAGTACCTGAAACATCTCTCTGCCAAATGAGGATGAGATTTCTTATTTATGAAGAGGAAAAATAAAATTTGAGCACTGTATTTATTTACTACACAGCAAAAGAGAAAGCCAGGGCAACTGAAATTCTGCTTAGAGAGCAAATATTAAATGCAGCACTTCTCTGGCACGGCCACAAGAAACCAAGTTTCATCCAAAGATATAAGATGTAAGACCAGTACTGGCTATAAGGTGAGATCACTTCTTCTGAAGCAGCAGAAATGATCGTATGATGAAACATTACTCATTTTGGCCCACATGCTGGTTTCAAGCACATCAAATTAGTACTGAGCTGTCTAATAATACATAGCTAAAATTTAACAACTTGACTAAAACATGACCATTATTCTGTTGCACCAAAAATGCTGGAAATATTGAGCTAGGAATCGAGAAACTGTATGAACAGACTACTCTCAAAAAGACTGATGCATGAAATTCCCTTCTTTTTACACTATCTTTGGCAGCTGACACACAGCTTTGAATTTATTGGAAAAGGAAGATCTTCACAAGACTCTCAGGAAGAACATTTCAGAAAATGACAGGGAGCAGCTGAGAAGCTGGTGCACTTTTGCATGCTGCTGGCGTTATTTGGAATCCAGCTTCCATCCCGGAGATCCAAATCAAAATTAAATATCAAATAACCTAATCTGATAGAATTAGATCAAATCTCTATAAGAATTGACTACTAATTATATATACATGCATCTATCTGTGTATCTGTATGGAAAATATTTTAATTTCAACACTTCCGGTGATTTTAATTTGTTTAGCTCTTGAAAAAGCTTTCTTCTGAAAAAAGTCAGAGGAGAAAGTATTGTGACAACATTCATAAATCCACAGCAGGTCTACTAGGTAAGCAGCATGGACACAAGCTCTAATATTTTTCTGTACTTAAAGTACTTGTGTTCATTTTGGGTACATGTGTTTATCTTTATGCAAGTCCTGGCCTGCTCAGAGTGCTTCAATTCCTGGGTAATGGAAACACCATCAGAAGCCTGAATCTCATCATCTTTTTTCATAAATGAATCACTGGAGCAAAAAGAAAAGAAAAAAAAATAAAAAAGAGAATAATAAAAACCCACAAGGAGTAATGCAAAAACAAACACAATACTGAGATTTTATTTATGTCTCTCTGTAATGTGAAAGCCAGATTCTTACTGGGGTAAATTTACGAAGGCAGCCGAAATTTGGGTCCAAAATTTGTAGCTTAGGAAAAAAAGCAGTAAGACAAAACTCAAGACATGGTATAAGCTGATTATAGTTCAGTGATCCACATCAGTGATGTAGATTGATGCATATATTTTTCTGAGTTCATATGAAGTCCTACATACTTCAACAGGACCAGCTCTGTATCTGCCTTGTGTGTAAGATTTCTACAAAAATAAATACAAATTAAAAAATCTTCCTCATTAAACCTTCTTAAACCTTTTTCATTAAACCTTTAAGCTAAAACACTGGATCATCCTCACGAAACATTCCACTTTGAGATGTAGAACAGAACATGGCCAGTCCCGTTATCAGCTCCATTTGCTATTACATTCAAATCAAAGTTCAGAAGGTTCATGCCCCAGCTTCTAGTTGCGACATCAAACCTTAAACAACACAGCATAATCCCAGCTTTCATCAGAAGAGGACACGTTGGAGCAGAAGCAGATTCCCAGGAAGCCAGGACAGCTCAGCAACTTCTTGCTGACACTAATTGGTGGGTCTCAATAAAGAAATAATTCTTTTTTTTTTTTGTCCTCCACAAAAGTTATAGCCAAATGGTGAAATAAGAATGAAAGAGGAAAAGGGACTCAATTTTTAAGTCCAGAGAACTCTACAATACAAATTCCAAGTATACTAGTTTGCATTACTACATTCTTCTGCCTTCTTTCTTTCTCCAGTATATGGCTTTCCAGTATTGCCTCTGTGATACTGTGACTCAGAAAAACCCGTAGGGCTGAGTCAGACAATTATTAAACTTCTCTTTTTGTAGCTTCAGGGGGACTTATACAGAGTTGCTTGTTAACTACAGCTCCATTTATCCCAGTGTTCCTTACATAATCCTGTTACCAAACACCAGACCTGGTTGTGTGCTAGAAGTGCTCCCAGCTGAGCGCAGCACCTTGCTGTGTGCCTGGAGCACAACCTGCCCCTTGCTTCAGGGCCTGGTTATGCTGGTTTGCAGCCAGTACAAGGATTTCTGGATGCTTCAGTGGTAATGTAACTGGGAGGGGCCGAGAGGATGAGCATGGGGTGAGACCTGGGTGTCCTATGGCACAGACCTCTCTCGGCTGGATTCTGATAGCCTGATAGAATTATGGAAT